AGTTTTGGAGTACTTCTTTGGGAAATAGCTGAACAAAAAATCCAATTTCAGCATATTAAAAAGGACAGTGTACCCATTCGCCAGATGATTCTTGACAATAGACGAGAACAATTTTCTTCACCATTACGAGTTTCAATTGAATGGGCAGAGATAGTTAATAAAGGTAATTTTGTTTAGACATTTTTCATATTCTATTAATATATTAATAAATTATAGCATCTGTTTATTTCTTTAATTATTAATCAGTTACAAGCCTTGACCCTACGTATCGTCCAACTATTGCATATATATTTACAGAACTTTTTGAATTTTCTAAAAAAGTTCTTCCCAGCAATCCACTATTCTTCCGATGCCAAATCCAATGCCATCAACATGCATAAATCGAAGGACGGTGATCGTAAAAAAACATATCAAATATTTTGCATTTAGGTGACTTCCTTGGGTCGGATACTACTTGTATCTTAATAGCTTAAATAATCAAGAAACAGCTGAGCAACGTCAAAAGGCAATAGTACAAGCTGCACAGCATTTTAAAGAACAGCCGCTATGGATTTACCTGAGGCTCAAACTTAGTTATGGTTATTGTCTATGGAAAGGAGAAGGTGTTAAAAAAATGGAATAGAAGCTGTGGAATATTTTAAGAAATCCGCATATAATGGAAATTCAACGGCTATGTATAATGATTGGAAGAATGTATTATGATATAAATGAAGTGGATCAAAATATAGAAAAAGGATACTATCTCAGGCTGGCAGTATTAAAAGGCCAACCGAAAGCTGTCGATATGTGCATAGAGTATGCTATTCCAATTTAAACACAAATTTTACTCTGAAAAGTATATATTGATAATTCACTTATTTAAGCGTTGCCTAGTTTTTTAATGACATAAAAGATTTCATTTCACGTTTCAAACTCGTCATTCATTCTGTGTTCAACGTTAACACGATACTAATAATGATAAAAACAATCAGCTTATCCATCCGAATGAAAAGTGTTAGCAAGAAAATATCGATATGGAATTTACAAATGCGAAAACACTAACGTTTAATCAAAACTTTGAATTCAAGTATTTATCCAACGTAATAAAAAATATTACCGCAAATTTAGTCTTACATTTCTTAAATTTATATATAAAATCATCTGGAAGCGATATAATAACTTTTCGTACATGTAACTAGACTTATATATTATTTATTTTTATTTCGTGATTTTAAAACCCTATTTTTCTTTATGAATGTTTTGATTAAAAAAACCTAAACTTAATCAACTAGTAAATAAAATTTACGAGATTTTAACAAATATTAATTACCATCGAATGCATTCTTCCATACTATTAGCTTCATTAAAAAATGCATTATGAATTATTGTGGATGATAGTGCTGGTATTGATTCTATCAATTTTTTGAATGGCAGTGGAAACCAGTAAAAATTCTAGGATCGCCAATCTTCAAAGGTATCATAAGTATCTTTTTTTTTACTTTATTCTAATGACAATGGATTGAGAAATATTTTCACAATTTGCAATAAAATGGGAGAAGCATCCTTCTTGAAGAAGAATATAAATTTTGATTCATTTTTGACAGGAAGATGCACATGATAATTTAAATTATATTCTTTTTATAAATTTTTTTGAACGCGTTATGCATTTTCATTTTCGAGTTGGGAAGGATCAAAAGAATTGTATGTGATAAAATAGAGATGACAAAGTTCAAGTGTTTGTATCACTAAAAATCATACTTTTGAGCGCCACTGTATGGCTGGATTTAATTTTATTGATTGCGGATTTTATTAACGAAGGATAGCAAGTGTTTTCCTGTTAATACATGTGCATGTAGTAAAGGTATCGATATATATACACGTACATGTATTCCGCATTAATAAAATCGCAACAACAAGTAAATGTATCGTTATCCGTAATGTACATATATATGGCATTGTGCACATGCTTACTTTTTCCCATCGCGCGTGATTAATTAAATGCACAACTCCCTAGATAATGCGTGCATGTACATTTATTTATATTGTAGCACTTGAGATTTTGGCGGCATAAACGATGCATGTGACATAAAGATACATGCATCAACTAAAATCTACGACGAAACTTTACAGATCTGAAACACTTCATATTCATCCACCGAGAATTTGTTGATCTCATTCACGCTATCAAAAAGATGGTATCTATAACATTGTTTCCTAACCGAGCAATTTTCCTCTCCATCAAACTTGATCCGCATATCCAAATCCGTTTTGCCAAAACACGGACCAAACTTCGGGTCATCATAGATTGCCTCGCATCCAGGCAACACCCTGCTCAGTTTCGCACCAGAGACCACCTCACTAACACTCCCGCACTTACTCCCAAACGAGAACAAGAAACTGTCACAAGTGTACTGCCAATGGTTACGCTGTAGTCCGCGCCACCCGATCGGGTTGTACCCGCCGATTATCTGCCTCGTGTCTTTGACGCGTAAGACGACAATGTTTGGTCCTTGGTTATCACATCGTTCGTGAAATATTCGTGGAGTGAAGCCGTGTAGTGTCCCACGTACCAATAAGTTGAATCGGTACCTAACTCGTGTTGGGTCTGGAATTTCGGTGGTTAACAGTGTTAATGTGGGTGAATTCTTTTGTGTCAATTCTATCCATTCTGGGAGATAGGCTGCTTGTGCTGGATGAAGTATCGTAGAGTCGATATGAATCAGTGGACGGCGAGGTAGTAGTAATGACGAACGAGATGCAAAGAAAAATGTGTCACTGTTATTTTTGTGTATTTTTTCAATTTCTAATTTAATGGGACCCGGAAAAATGTCTCTGAATGGCCAAACATTACGGATAAAATCCTCGTTAGAAAAATCCGTAAATCGTATTAATGGTATACAACGCTTTAATATCTCATAAAAATCCTTGAGTTCATCCTTCTTCAATGTCCCAATGCACCCAAGATCAAAAGACTGCTGCGGTCTAATCTGTGCGAACCCCCATCTCAACAAATTCACCCAAATATCCTTCTCTTCCATCTGCAAATCCTCCTGTTCTAACACCATTCTCAGAATGTCTTCGTCGTATTCCACAAAATCATCAGCGGTGAAAACAAGTTCCGGACGCCAACATATTTGTAGTAGACAATAATCTTGGAGTCTGACGCATGATGAGTGTCGAAATATTGCGTGTAATACGACGCCAAAGTTGGTTTCGAGCCATGCTGTTTTCACGGTTATCAAGTGTTCTTGGATGTGACCCAAGAGATCTTGTACGATTAGTAGTTCGTCTGCGGCCACTAGTAAATCGAGAATGTCGAAACCATCTTGTTCGTCCAAATTTATTCGTCCACTATATAAATATCTATTTGGGGGGGGGGTTTTTTTTAATTCACATAACCGTTAATGACATTTAAATAGAAACAAAGTTAATCGGCTTACTCTAATAGCATTCCAAAAACAGACGGCGGCACATTTGGTTTCTTTAACACGATCCGATTTCCTTCTTTTCGAGCCCACGTAGCCGACAAAGCACTCTGAAAAAACGCTGATCTAGCGCGCAAAACATCGGAATGTGCTTGAAATGCTTTGATATCTGGCTCTTGACCAGCTTGGATTACGACATCCGCATCGGTCAAGAACTCGTTATAAAATTGTTGAACAGTAGCGGTCATTTTGTTAATGTTTATTTGATGTTTATTGGATATTTTGCAGCGGTTATTTTTAATTTGAAAAATTTATTTGAAAATTTATCTCGTCATTTAAATTAATCGTTATCAACGGTCGCCTATTTTTTTTTATCACTGATCTTTTTATATATTCTATTGTTACAGATATCTATAAAATCTATATGGGTTTCTTCTTGAATGATTGAGTACACGTATATGTACATGTATATATAAAAAAAATATATATAAAAAAATTAGATTCAGATAGTGCTACTACTTATTGTTACCAGTTTATTCAATTGGGGCAAGGAAAATGAATGTAACAAATGTTCTTGCGTTGTGTGTGTGTATTGTATACATATTTATAGATGATTTGTTGTGAATGTTGGCTCCCGAAACCAAACTCAAAAATCTATTTTTAATTAATATACAATTATTAAAATAATATCCATCATTCTTTAAAAGCTATATAATATACCGATACATGCAAAAGGAAAATATAAAGGTCCAAAAAGGAAGAGAATGACGTCCAAAGCAATATGGAAGGCGGGGCAATAGTGTCATGTACTGTGACGTGAATGCTGATGATCAGCTCGATAAAAGAGATAATGAAGTACCAATCATTTGGGTAACCGGGCAAATTAGATACATAATGGGTTAGCACACAAAGAAACAATGGGATTAACGTAAATCCAATCAGTTTTCAAGATCAAAGATTAATTTAGAATCGGATTAAATCTCTACTGGATTAACCGTATTAATAGATAATTAATATATTAATATTACAAAAAACCTTATTCGCTGCAGTTAATTTTATCCCGTAGATTGTAGAGGTCACCCAACATCCACTATTTATTTTTATTTATCAATTATCTACATCTTCTATGCTAATTCAACATCCTCACAAATATCAGCAATATTATTATAATAACATCAAAATAAAAATATATCTGCTGTAACAGGTCAACATCAGCACATAAATGATTTATTTATTATCAGCATCACCAGGCTTCTTTGCATTACACGCCACGATCTTGATCTTGTCAACGGCGATATTATCATTATCTAAACGGAAATTAGGATTCTCGATGATGAATGTCCATACTTCGTCGCAGAAACGATAGGTATGTAGACGCCCGCCCTGTATTTGTTTATTAGTGAGTAATCATAAACAATATAAACGGCGTTTTTATCTTTTTTATAGTTAGGGGGTAGAGAATAGGAAAATATACCTTGAATGTTCCTCGACTTCGTACTTTGTTTTCTAGTGCCTCTGTTATGCTCTTGTCAAACTAGATAAATTCATAAGATAAACATGTTAATAAGCTCGTGTCCATATACATATTTAAAATTTCTTTCAATCTAATCGAGGTCTGTTCCCCTTCGATTCTTCTACCCATACATAGTAACCCTTCACCCATCAACAAAACATCATACTTTTTCTTCCTCCTTCGTTACTATTTTTTAC